AATATAGGGAGACTCTTCGCGGAAGTTTACGAGGGACACAACACATCGCGAGAGGAGGGGGGGGGGGATGAGCAAGGGGGGGATGGAGGAGCAAGGGGAGGGGATAAGGGTAGGAGGAGGAGGGGAGGGGAGAAGGGGCAGGGGGAGGAGGGGAGGGGAGAAGGGGCAGGGGGAGGAGGGGAGGGGAGAAGGGGCAGGGGGAGGAGGGGAGGGGAGAAGGGTAGGAATGAAGGGAGAGCAGAAGGGTAAGAGGTGGGGAGGGAAAAGGAGAAGGGGAGGAGGAGGGGAGGGGAGGAGGGGACAGGAGAGTGGCGAATGAGGGAAAGGTGAGGGGAGGCAGAGGGGAATGGGAGGAGAGAGGGGTGGAGAGAAAGGAATGGGGAATGACGGCAGTGTGAGAGGTCCGAGGAGGAACAGAAGGAGAGGGTATAGGGGAAAGGGGAGAGGAAATAGGGAGGCAGAAGAGAGAAGGAGAGTGCGGGAAGGAGAAGGGGAGAGTGGAGGAGAGAAGGGAGAGGGGCGCTGGGGTGGAGAAGGGAAGTGGGGAAAGGGAAAGAAGAGAGGGTTGGGAAGAGGAGGAAGAGGAGGAGGAGGAGGAGGAGGAGGAGGAGGAGGAGGAGGAGGAAGAGGAGGAGGAGGAGGAGGAAGAGGAGGAGGAGGAAGAAGAGGAGGAGGAGGAGGAGGAGCTGGAGGAGGAGGAGGAGGAGGAGGAGGAGGAGGAGGAGGAGGAGGAGGAAGAGGAGGAAGAGGAGGAGGAGGAGGAGGAGGAAGAGGAGGAAGAGGAGGAGGAGGAGGAGGAGGAGAAGGAGGAAGATGAGGAAGAGGAGAGAGAGAGGACGAGGTGTCGACTGCTCTTGTCCTCCATTCTCCGCAAAGTACATGGTTCTCTGGCCAGAAAATGTTGCCAAGCAGTAGCCAAAATGGAAATCGCCTTCCGGGCGCGACCAAGCCAGGGGTCAATAACTCTGACGGAGGCAAAGTTGAACAAAAAAAATAGACTGATAATAATAACTGATAGTGAAAAACAATGATAATCATAGTAATAATAATAATTGATAATGATTATAATCATCAGCAATTACTAAGAATATCATTAAATATATATATATATATATATATATATATATATATATATATATATATATATATATATATATATATATATATATATATATGTATATGTATATATATATATATATATATATATATATATATATATATATATATATATATATATATATATATATATATACATATATATGTATACATATATATATATATATATATATATATATATATATATATATATATATATATATATATATATATATATAACCTCTGTGTGTGTGTGCATATAAAGCATACATCAAATGAAAAATATCTAATTTTCCATCGGGAGTCGAGGGAAAACTCCCAAAAGGAAGGCGCCACACAATAGGCCTGGATGAAAGGGCGCCCCCCCCCCCTCCCCTCCATGGCACCCGCCGATCGCAAACCCCTCGGCCATCGGAGAAGAAAATTCGGAATCGGGAAGGAAGAAAGTTGATTATTTTTTTTACCCGCGAAAGAATACTCGGAGGGAAGAAGGGTAAGGGAGGGGGGGAGGGGGACTTGAGAAAATTTAATTTGACGAAAGAAAGAGTGGGAAGGAGGGAGGGAAGGGAGAGAGGATAGGGAGGAAGGGAGGGGGAGAGAGGTAGGGAGGATGGGAGAGAGAGAGAGAGAGAGAGAGAGAGAGAGAGAGAGAGAGAGAGAGAGAGAGAGAGAGAGAGAGAGAGAGAGAGAGAGAGAGAGAGAGAGACAGATCCAGAGATAATAATAGCCGCATCTCACACATAAACACAAATCTCGACGCACCGTTTACGACACACTAAAATCTTACTGCGTATCCTCATAGACACACACAAACAAAAACTTGATAAAGATAATCAAACGGAAAAAAAAAACATGGGATTTGCCTGAGCAATATCTCAAGAGGGCAAAACTGTTCAAAATTGTTGGCTTGCAACGTAAGGGCGCTTGGCATCGTTCTGCAGTTGCATAGCTGTTTTATTGCAAGGGAGAAGCAGATAGGATCTGCGGGAATGTCTGGCTGTCTTGTTTAATTTCGAGGAAGAGTACTTTTGTGATAAAAAATGCTGAACATAAACTAAAACCAGAATGCCGTTGAATGATGTAAGGATAAGCATCATAATAAGTTAGTTGAAAAGTAACATCGGTTTTATCATAATGCGGTAAAAGTGGTAAACATTGCGAAATCGTTATTGCAATAATAGCTGCAATAATAGGAACAATATACGCATGTGTACGAGAATATCTACACAACCACACACAAACATACACACACACACACACACACACATACACACACACACACACACGCACACACACACACACACACACACACACACACACAAACACACACACACACAAAACTTTCCTCCCCTAACCCCCCTCTCTCCAACACACCAACACCACCACCCCCACCATCACCCCCTTCCCCCACCACCACACACACCCTCTCCCCTCCCCCCACCACACACCCCGTCCCCCCATCCCTCCACTACACACACACGAGATTTAAACCAGAGGCAGAGAAGAGCCCTGTCCCCCTCCCGCTCCCCCCTCCCTCGCCCCGTGACAGTAGGAATCTCGGGCCGTGGATGTGTCAGGCACTCCGCCCGCAGCCTCCAGCAGGGGACAGTCTACAGGAAGCTTCTCAGGCTACGTGAATGACGCCTTTAGGAATGGTCTTGCCTTTGTTGTTATTGTTTGAAATGGAGGAGGCGCTATGGGGTACGTGCATTGGTACAGTAAATGCACATGCATATATGTTTTAGTTTATATCTCGTTTGCTATCTGTTTATCTGTCTGTGTACGCCTCTCTGTGTGTGTGTGAATATGTGTGTGTGTGTTTGAATGTGTGTGTGTGTGTGTGTGTGTGTGTGTGTGTGTGTGTGTGTGTGTGTGTGTGTGTGTGTGTGTGTGTGTGTGTGTGTGTGTGCGCGTGCGTGCGTGCGTGTGTGTGTGTGTGTGTGTGTGTGGTGTGTGTGTGTGTGTGTGTGTGTGTGTGTGTGTGTGTGTGTGTGTGTGTGTGTGAATTCGGCCTGCATTCATCTTGCAGTCTTATCTCATTCCTATCTGTTATCAGCTCTTGCTGTCTCGCCGGCCCCGCGATCACTGGCGCCGCACACCAACCCATCAAAATACTCTCATTGTTATCAAGGCATAATATAACCCCAGTTATTCAACACCGCATCTCGACCGTCACAATCATCACTAGCACCATCATCACCATCAACACCAAAAGGCAGTCGGCCCTCAACACCATCACGGCACAAAGCAGAGGCAGTAAGCAAGCAGGGAATGACTGTGGAAATATTATGCTCCTTTCCGCTCGCTTGCATGTTATGGCCCGGGGGGAGGAGGGGGGGGAGAGGAGGGAGACGGATGTGCGAATGTGTGTGTGTGTGTGTGTGTGTGTGTGTGTGTGTGTATGTGTGTGTGAATGTGTATGTATGTAAGTATGTGTATGTATGTAAGTATGTGTATGTGTAAGAGTAAATGTATATGTAAGTGTATGTGTACGTGCATGTACTTCAGTATGTGTGTGTATGTATGTGTATGTATGCATGTCTGTCGCTGATGCAGTGGTGGGTGTGTCCTGTGTCTGTGGCTGCATGGCTATGCGGAGTTGAACATCCTGATGCACAGCCAAAGCATTGCATTAACTTTTGCTTTAGTCTAATTTTGCTTGTTGTCCGGTACCCATTTTTGCTTTGCTCTCTGCGACACACTGGCGAATAGAAGACGGGAAAAAAAACAGAAAAAAACTATAATAAGGAAGATATAGAGAAACGAACAATAAACAATGACGCAGTTGTAATGGCTCAAGATATATCATGCATGTATAGTGAAATTTCGGAAAAATAAAAAGAGAGAGAAAAATAATATATATATATATATATATATATATATATATATATATATATATATATATATATATATATATATATATATATATATATATATATATATATATATATATATATATATATATATATATATATATATATATATATATATATATATATATATATATATATATATATATATATATATATATATACATATATATATATATATATATATATATATATATATATATATATATATATAAAGAAAGCTTGAAAGACAGTGAGAGGGGAAAAAAGAGAGAAGATATATAATGAAAACAAACAAAAAAAAAAAAAATATAAAATAAAAAAAGAAAGAAAGAAAAAAAGAAGAAGAAGAAAATAGTTCAGTAAAAAGAAAAAAAAAAAGCAATCCGAAAGCTTTCCATAAATGAGATAAAAAAATCGCCCGTCTGTCCGCTCTTATCTCTTATCTCTTTGTACGTGTTCAGCGTAGCTTCCTCCACATCCTCACGTCCTAAATCCTTCTTCCTTATTTCCTTACGAACCCTCTCCACCCCCCCCCCCCCTCGGAAACCCCCGGCCGCCCTCATACGCACACTCCCTCTCAGACGCACACACTCATGGAGACTTATCACTTTCCATACACCTTTCTTTTATGCACACGCACGCGGGGGCTTGGGTGTACATATATACATATACATACATTATGAGGCCGATTCTTGCGCACACACAAGCAAACACGGAAGTACACGCGCATAAAAATAAATATACATACATAGTGAGACACATACTCACACTTACACACACTTGCTCGCACACTTTTCCCTGCGCACATCCACACACACATCCACGCCCTTATCCTAACATACCCACACTTTTATCTACACCCATACGCCCTACACTCACTCACACACAAATCCACGCCTACACCTACGCCCAACACTCCTATCCACACGCCCACACTCTCATCCACACCCACACACTCAAACAAATCCACGCATCAAACCTACGCCTAACACTCTCATCCACATCCATATCCACATTCCACATCCCACACCCACCCACAGACAAATCCACGCC